TGGCCAAAGATGTGTACATACTTTCATGTTTAGGTTTTCGATTGTTAGATTCCAATGAAGATGGAGTGGTGGTGATGAATGGGGATGAATCATCACTAGTGTCTGAAGTGAAGGAGAAACAAGACCAAGACCCTATTTTTCTTGAATTAAAGGTGAATGTTCATAAGCAAAAGGTGATGGCTTTTGAATAAGAGGGAAATGGTATGTTGAGGTATTAAGGTAGATTGTGTGTGCCGAAGGTGGATGAGGTCCAAGAGAGGATCATGGCAGAGGCTTAGAGTTCCAAATGATCAATCCATCTTAGTTCAACAAAGATGTACCATGACATGAGAGAAGTCTATTTGTGTAGTAGTATGAAGAGGTGCATTGCAGAGTTCGTTGCTAAGTGCCCAAATTGCCAACACATCAAGGTAGAGCACCAAAGGCCCGGTGGTGTGGCTAAGAACATAGCTCTTCCGAAATGGAAGTACGAGATGATTAACATGGATTTCATTACTGGCTTGTCATGCTCTCGCAGGCAGAATGATTCAATTTGGGTGATTGTAGATCAGATGACTAAATCAGCCCATTTCTTGCCGATAAAGACTACCAATCAGCCGAGAATTATGCCAGATTGTATATTCAAGAGATAGTTCGACTACATGAAGTTCTTGTGTCTATCATTTCAGATAGGGATGCGCAATTCACCTCTCAATTCTAGAAGTCTTTTCAGAAAGATTTTGGTTTGAAGGTAAATCTTAGTATCGCTTTCCACTCTCAGAGTGATGGTCAAGCAGAGTGTCCAATCCTGACTCTAGATGATAGGTTGAGGGCATGTGTCATAGACTTCAAAGGAAATTGGGATGATCACTTGCCTTTCATAGAGTTTGCTTATAATAATAGTTATCACTTTAGTATCCAGATGGCTCCTTATGAGAAACTTTATGGGCGAAGATGTAGATCACCTATTGGTTGGTTTGAGGTTGGTGAAGCTGAGTTGATAGGGCCAAACTTGGTTCATCAAGTCATGGAGAAAGTGAAGATCATTTCAAGAAAGGCTGAAAACATCACAAAGTCGTTAGAAATCTTATGCATATGTTAGGAGGAGAGACTTAGAATTTGAGGTTGATGATTGGGTCTACTTGAAGGTTTTACCCATGAACGGTGTTATAAGATCTGGTAAGATTGGTCCTTACAGGATATCGTAGCATATGAGTTGGAGCTACCTTCAGAGTTAACACCAGTTCATCCGGCGTTCCATGTATCCATGCTAAATAAGTGTTTGGGCAATCCTTCACTTATTGTACCTACATAGAATATTGGTATTAAGGACAACTTATCTTATGAGGAGATGCATGTTCAGATTCTTGATTGTCAGGTTTGCAAACTAAGGACCAAGGAGGTTGCATCAGTCAAGGTTTTATGGAGGAATCAATTTGTTGAGGAAGCTACTTGGGAGACTGAGAAGGATATGAAGAAGAGATACCCACATCTTTTTACTTCCAGAGAAATTCCAGACCAAGGTACTAACTCTTTGTAAAGTACTCTTTAAGTTTATATGTTGAGTTATGTTAATTGGTTGTTGGGTGTTTGGGTTGGGGTTGTTAGATGCTTCCCACCCCTACTCTGCTTAGTGTGATCTCATTCGAGGAAGAAAGTTCCCAAGGGGAAGATATTGTAACACCTCGAACTTCGATCATTTTTTAGTTTTGAGTCAACTTCAAACGACCGTATCTTTAGCACAAAAAGAATTAGAGGGCCCATGAGCTATCAAATTGAAGGTCTCTAAGTCCTCTTTCCAGTGCCGCCAAGTTTAATAAATTCCGAGCTCTTAAGTTATGGTTATTTAAGTGAAGTATCTCTAGTTAAAGCATTTCATCCGTATGAGAAAGGGGTATTTTGGTCTTTTCCTTACCCCACACGACTTGACCACGTTTTCCTCACCCAAGTTAAGGGTCTAATCAGACGCTAAGTTATTTTTCACATTACTTAACACTTAGACTTTTAGGGCTAAGTTTCAAGAAGATGAAAAGAGGGTTTTCAATCGTTCTTCCAAGAATTGAAGAATTTCACCAAAAACAAGGGTTCTTTCAAGGTATGTAAGCATCTCATAGTGTTGGGTTTGTTCTCCCTCACGCCAATCATGCAATTTCATTCGTGAATTCGTTCTTGAAAAAGTTTGTATTGAGATTCATGAGAAGTTCTTGATTTTTAGCTTCTATTCTTTAACAATGGGGGTTTGGAGTTCTTGAGGTGAGGGTCTTGCGAATGAGTGGTGTTTCTTGATAGAATTTGACTGAGATTTCATTGAATTTATGTTGGGTTTATGAATCAAAGAGAGTTTGGAAGAAACCCATCGATTTTAGATGAGTTAGGACCCGAAGCTGAACAAGAAAATTCGTTGGATTTTTGGGTGAGGGTTGGGGCAATGCTCCCCCATAGTGCCAGGAGGAATGGCGCCCTGCGCCAGCAGTGCACCCAAAAGTACTCCCAGTACTTTGAGGAGTGGCGCAACGTGCCATTGATGCGTCAGGGTCGCCAGGCCCATTTCTTCTCTATTTTCTGTCCCGTGTGTACTATTTCAAATTGTGTCTTCGCTCTCTTCTTGATATTAACTCTTAAAGTCTTCATTAATCCTTGAGAGATCCTACATATCCTAAATCACATCTCTTGATTGATAAGATTTACTTTAGCATATAAATTGTTTTGATAAGATTATTTTTATTTTTATTTTTTATCTTATTTTGAAATTACACATACCTTTTCTTTCACCATAATCATATTTAAATATAAGAATGACAACGAGATAGAACAGGACAGGGAGTGGCAGACTCATAAACGTTTTTAAAAAAATTATACAAGTGAGGCAGGTCACAGAACAAAATTTAAGTCTTTTGAATTAAAACTTACCATGCTTAATTTATTTTCAAGAATCAATCGGTTCCATATAATTTTAAACTAACTACTCAATATATTATTATAATAATTATTATTATTATTAATATAATTATTATAATAATATCATTCAGCCTTAATATTATTAGAATTCATTTTTCGTGTCTTTACGTACATTCAGTTATAATATATATTTCCCAACGTTGTTCTATTAAGTATTTAAAAAAATTATAACTTAAATTAAGAAAAATAACGGATAGTCTTTGTTAAGAGAATGACTATAAATATATGAACTAAAAACAGAATTAAAATAACAATGACTATAAATATATGAACTAACAGAATTAAATTTTTTTATGGAAAACTAAATATGAATTAATTTGTTTTTTTAGATGCTAGTAATTGAGAAAACACTAAATATTTTTTAGTTAATTTAATATTATTAAAAATATAGAATGATATGAGTATTTTAAATACTCAGTCCTAAAAATGTTTTTAGTTATTGTGATAAAAAAATGTTTATTAATTCTTTTATTCAATATATCAACATCTTAAGAAAATGAAGTAAAAAACATTTATTGGGAGTAGGAAAATAAGAAAATGAAAAAAAAAAAAAAGAGGTGAGTAGGAGAGAGATGGTAAAAAGGTAAAGAAATTGCCCCATTATTCAAGTGTCAACTAATTGATGGAGGGTCACACAACTATTGTTGGTTGTGGCTCTACCATTATAAAAAATTTCGCTTTCTTCCTATGGTGATTCTGCAAAACACCATGTCACGATCTGTCACCTTGTAACCTTTCGTGAACGTTACTACCTTATGTGTTGTAGTGAGTTCCAAATTAATAGTATGAACCAATTTCATCTATGTTAGAAGGTAAGTTCAGAAGTCAGATAGATAGTAAGAGTAGCTCCTTTCTCAGCTTTCAATTCAGCTTGACCATCATTCAAGGAAGAATGATCCCAAAGGGGAGATATTGTTACGTATTCTTCCATCAAATGAATTTTTAATGTATGTAATGGTTTGTACTAGCTGATATTGCTCATGTAATTTGTGTTGTTAAAACGTCTACTGACAATCCTAAGAAAGAGCATTGGGAAACGGTGAAGTGGATACTCCGGTATTTGAGAGGAAGCTTAGATGAATGCTTGTGTTTTGGAGGAGCAAATTCAATCTTGAACGGCTACCTAGATACTGATATGACAGGTGAGATCATAGAAAATCAACTATTGATACCTATTTACTTTTTCAAGGGCTATATCATGATAATCAAAGTTGCAGATGGGTTGAGTATATTGCGACTACTGAAGCCGGCAAAGAGATGATATGACTCAAGATATACCTTCAAGAACTTGGATTGCGATAGATGGAGTATGTTGTTTATTGTGATAGTAAGAGTGCAATAAACTTGAGCAAGAACTCGATGTACTATGCAATGACAATATACATCAACGTGAGATATCCTAGAATTTATGAACAAATGGAGAGTGAATTATTTCACATAAAAATTATTCACATAAGTAAAATTTTTATTGATATATTAATCAAGGTAATACTGAAAGACAAGTTCAAGTTATACAAAGAACTTGTTGGCACATGCTCTATTTGAAAAGACCAAAATGACCTTCTTCGGATGCATATGACCCGAGGGGAAGATTTGTGGGATCCGGACCATAATTAAGGGAATAAAGTGTTCGTAGCATATTGCAATGTCCAAATGAGCTCTTTAGCTCCTCAAACAAAACGCACCATAGAGAAAGGATAAATATAGAGAGAGCGATGAGGTATTTTATAGATTGAGTAGGAAAATCGTCTGTGAAAAAAAATAGAGTGTGAGCGACATTTTAGTAAGATGAAAATTAAAAAGGGATTATTTATTTTGAGTATGTTATGAACATTTTGAGTATTGTACTTGTGATTATATAATGCAAATATTTTACCATAATAATATCAGGTGCCTCTCTGGGCCTGTGATATTTTCCTTATTAAAATAGAATTTTCACATAAAATTGTTGGTGTCCTTATTTTTTCATTTTATTCCAATTATTTTGATTGTAATATTTTTATATTAGTACGCATTTCATAACAAAATAGGGGATTTATACACCATGTTTGCCTCTTCTTTACCTTAACTATTACAGCCCTTACTTGTGGATCTTCTTCATACTCTTCGAAAGTTCTTAACAATTCACCAATCTGCAAAATTCAAAAACAAAATTGGGGACATGAAAAAACATATTAAACAAGAATGTATATAATTAAAAATTAAGATAGAAAAAAGAAAGAAAGCAAAATAATGATGAGTAGATGCTCAACATACCATTTCAAAAGTCAAGCAATTCAATTGTGTAGGTCTATTTAGAGTGACCTTCTGAACACGTGACATAGCTTCAAATAGTATCTGGGAGGACAATCAAAGAAAAATTTCAAAAATAAGTCATCTATTATTAATTATTATTATTAAAAACTATAAATGTAGAGGTATACGATATAGGGTTAAAAAAAACTTTAACATAGTAAAAATGATTCGAAATTGCCCTCTTTTTGTCTAGTGTATCAATTTTTCCCACCACACATTTTTTGGAATAAAAAATGTCCTTTAACGTACTAGAAATAATTTTAAAATGTTCTTCTTTCACCTATTAGATCAAATTTGTCACTAAAGTTATATTCATGCTTAAAATTGTCTCTCTATTAATGACACAATTTTATGACATTTCATTTGATTAAATTATAATTAAATATGTGTCCTTTATTTATGAGTCCACGTAAAATTCTAAAGCAATTCAAAAGGACCTGAATCATCCATGATCCAACTCAAATACATTATGTATGATCATTTAATATATATATATATATATATATATATATATATATATATATATATATATGTCCGCGACAAAGGAATATTAATTGGCGCAATCATCGGTATTTTCATGAGGACGCCAATCGATCCTAGTACTTTAGGGCTCGAGTAAAACTTCTTTATTTATTGATGCATTACTTTGTAACCTATACACAGTAGTCTTAACATGATTGAAAAGAGATTTAATTATGAACCGAATAAAAACAATACATAATATATTGACCATGAGAAACTTTTACTTTTTCCAAGAAAATTATTTCATTTTATTCCAATAATTCCAAATACAAATACAACTTCAAGATGTATTTGTAATTTGGAAAACATCCAAAACCTTGTTTTCATTTTTTTTAATTTTTTTGTTTTTTTTGTGTTTTTTTTAAAAAAATATATATTTTTTGTTTTCATAAAATAACCTCATTTGAATTATATTTCATGTTCAAATAATATTTAATATTTTTTAAAAAAAAATACATTTAAATTCTAAATATTAACTCAACAGTTATGATCAAATACAACTCAAACTTCAATTCCAACTCCAACTTTGAAAATGCAAATAAATTGATTTTTTTTTTTATTTTCATGGTCAAACATTTGGGGCTCCAAAATTTTCATATTTTCTAACTCGATCATTTAAGACCCAACAGGGTAAGGGGCCTAGGCTGAACATCCTTTTTCTCTCGCAATTAGGGCTGGATATATATACCGGGTCAAATCGAATCGAATATATTTTATTTAGATTTTGGTATTTAATTTATATGGTCAATTTTATTTTCAAAATTTAAAATTTCAATTATTCGATTCAATTTTTGATTTTTAACAAATTAAATTGGTTAAGTCAAAAAATCTATCTATATATAATAGGAGAAGATAAATCGCCACATGTCAACACCACAAATTTTCAGAATTTTAAACTATAACTAATTAAATATTATATAAATAATTAAATATTATAAATTCAAAATTAGAAATAAAAATAGACACATGACATCAACATACACAAATAATGACAAATGTCGGCATTTTAAAAAAGATTTAATTTTTTTAAAATCTAATTTATAAATTAGTAATAATAAATGACTATTTTTAAAAAAAATAATTTTAAAGCATTTTTTACAATTGATAAATAGTTTTAAAATAGTTCTTAAAAATAGGGTGATGTGACGTGTGTAATTCTTTTTTTTTTGAAAAATATATTTTAACTATCTTTCCACAACCTCTTTATTTATTGCATAAAAACTGAATGTCTAAAAATTAGTTCAAAAAAAATAAATTTTAAAACTGTAAAAAATGAGAAATAACTGTGCAAATTATAGCTTTGTCTTGTTTCTTTTAATTATATATCCATTTTCGTGCAAAGAATAAAATAAATTTTAAAACTGTAAAAAATGAGAAATACTATTAATTATTTAAAATTTTAAAAACAAGAATTACTATCCTATATTTTTTTTTCTAAAATTACATTAGTTTTCTCCTTTGAAAAGACGAATAAAAAATAATAAGAAAAATAAAAAGAGTGACCAACCTCACAAACCTTACCCCTATATGATATATCCTACTAACTCAAAACACAGACGTAAGTAGTTTATAAAAAATAATTAAATTTTTAAATTTAAAGTAGTTATAACTTCTCAATTTTATTTTTAAATATACCCCCTACGTTTTCTGTCTCTTCTTTTCTCTTTACTTTCTATGTTCTCAAATCTCAATATGGATAGTGAGGAAATAGCTTGATTGTTCATACATAACTTTATGTAATTTATTATTTTTTAAATCAAAAAGAAAAATGTTAGTATACTATTTAATAGTAACTCATGTTAATCTGCTTAGCATGCTGATGAAACAAAGCAACACTTCTTTTACACTCCGTTAAAGGTATGATGTTTGATTGTTTAGGAATTCTTATTTCTTATGCCCCATCTTTTTCTCTATGTATCCAGGTGTGCTCCCCTAATTCAGGGACAAACATTTGTTCTTTTTCAATAACTATTATCTTTTTAATATGACACGATATCCACATATATAAAAATATATATATATAAAAATAGAAATCGCCAAAAAAAAATCCAGTTTAAAAATTAATATTTTTAAATATCTATTTTGCAAAATAGTGCCAAATGTCAATATTACAAAAAATACTTTTTTTTTTTAATCTCAAAAACTAATATCAAGAAAAAAGAGTGTTAACATAATTTTTCAAGAACTAGCCGTTTCAAACAAAATATGTTCACGCTCTCGAATCACCGGCAATGATAAAATTAGATGAAATCTTCACATTCACGGTTAGATATAGGAATTATGATTTGACGTCTATTTATGCTTTGTTTGTGATTTTTATTCGGAAATATATATATATATATATATATATATATATATATATATATATATATATATATATATATATTTTAGAACAGACAATTATGGATATCGCCAGAAAGAAAAGACACAGGAAGAAAGTGAAGATGAGACTACAAGTAGTCTAAAAGAATTGGATGAAAGCGATGATGAAACAACACGTAGTTTAAAAGAATTTATGGAAACTGCCTCCACAAGTTCAAGTCCTTTCCAAAAAACAATTCCAGTACCACCAGTGGAATATACAATAGGTAATTTATCACGATAGCGTGTTTATAGACAAGACCCTGCTACAGAACTAGAAATGGTTAGACCTATAGGAATAAGAATGCCAATAGAAGCACCTATCAAACTCCAAGATGGAGGAGATAGAGGAAAAATATTAAATATAGTTGCCCATGACCCTTAATTGTGGAACTCAGTAATAGATGTATGGAAAGGTATAGTAATAGCAGACTATATACATCATTATAGTGAAACAGATCGCAGAGACCATGTATAGATACCTGGAAACTTTTTTAGAAAAATCAATTAAAGGAATGTGGGAGGCATACAAAGTAGCTTACCCTCAAGAATTCCAAGAACATATATATGTGCAAATTGTTATATTAGATGTAGGGAAGAATATTACATAGGGGTTCAATCTCTGTCCAAGCATCACAAGTCTTTCTAACACAGACAAAGAAAGAATTTATAATGCCTTTAGTGACTCTATTGTTATTTCATAATTTGTAGTAGTAACATAATCAAATCTAATACTTCTGGAAGATTTTCTTCAATTTTGAATCAATGCTAGAGATAAAGCAGTCCTTAAAATTTCTTTTGCAGATTCTTTTATTGTAATATAAATTAATAACTAATTATATCTCCTAAAATTTTGGTAATCTATTTCTTTTGCAAATTTTTGCTACTTTTTTGATGATTTTTTTAATTAATGCAATAAATATTTGAATGTATCACTCAAAATTTTGGCAATTGATTAACATAACTAATTCTTAGTTTTAAGTGAATATATATATATAGAGAGAAATATGATGGTATTTAGATATTTCTTAACTTAAGATATTCTAATGCGTTTAATCCAATTTTTGAATTCAAGTGTTAAACTCTATATCTTTTTTGCCGTTGAATACAAAAAGTGAGATTTTCGTGTTTGGGGGATTCTTGGAGTAGAACAATAACCCCAAATTTACTAGAATTAATGGCAAGGTATGTATTAATATTTCATATATTTGAAATTTAGATAGTTTGTTCACTTTATTAATTCATTTCTTTAATTTTTGTGCTTAATTTCAATCTTAGCACAAGGCAAAAGAGAAATAAAAAAGAGAATAAAGAGTAATACTGGATATAGAAAAAATGTGACATTTGTTAATTTATTAAAATTTATGAAGGTGAAGACTAAACAACTACAAGTCTACATGTGTGTATACTTTTTTTAATGTATATGAAATAAGAATTTGAACAAAGCATTCTTAATTTCCACTATATATTATAGCGATGGTAATTGTTGGGTAGCTTTAATTTATTTTGGGCAACAGAAAAAGTGGTAAATATTGACTTGAAAAATTTACTAGGATGACTCCTAGCACAAAATACTATCTATTGTTATATTGAATTCATATAAAAAAAAAATTCCTGTTTGCTTATAATTGAATGCTATATCTAATGGGGCATGTTATTATCCTTGCACTCTAGCTTACTGGGAAAACCTATATATAGAGAGAGAAAATGTAGTTTCTTTTTTCATTTAAATGCATGTGATATTCAAATGATACTAATTAAATTTATGATGTGTGTGAATCGTGTCTTTGTATACATCGTTTGCATTGGTGGATTGTTATGTTTTATGACCTTGGTATGTAGGTGTTCAAGTCACACATCAACTTGGTCTGATTATTGCGCACACAAATCACTTTTGTATGAAAGTCAAGTTTCACTTGCTTTTTCGTTTTTTTCTAAAAATAAATACCATAACAAAGAATAATTCAATTTTTACATTATTTAAAGCTTCAAATATTACTTTTCTTATTGTATAAGGTAGTATTTATATTTGAAGGAACGTCATTAGTGTTGTTAAGTAATACAACAATCGGAATAATCTAATGCGTTCATAATTTTTTTTAACTTCTTTAGCATTATCCATGAGAAAATACCACTTGCAATTTTGGATAATTGATGAAAGTGTTATTGTAAGTTTTTTTTGCATATCAATTATTTTTTTAAGACTCAAATATATACATATATCTAATCGGGTATGTATGATAGAAGCTTAAATTTTTAAATCTCATAAAAATAAATATTTGTGTTGAATACTTTTATCGAACAAAGTTATCTGCTTAGCACTCACATTAAGCAAAAATATTATTATAATGGTAATGATGAATTTAGAGAAAAAAATGACATTGCAATTGGTTATTCCCTCCCTATGAAAACAATGATTACAAAAATATATTTCCTAAAATTTTGATATAATTATATGATTTTTTTGAAATATAATATAATTGATATATGATTTTATGAAAAATTGAAAAACAAAATTTAAAAATTTGAATACCATGCCTACAATTTGATAGTCAAGTGATTAAAACTTCTTAGTTTTATGTTTAACATTATCATAATTGTAGATCTTTACATTTTATTTTTTTTGTATAACGATTAAATTTTCTCATAATTTCCTTATTCTAACAAGAGGATAATATGGATTGTGGGAGTGTATTTATGATTATGAATAATTTGAAAAATAAATAAATTTAATAGTGCTAAAAATTATGTTTGTCAAATTTAGACAATGATAAGCTTATATATTGATTTATTTTCATAAATATTCTCTTATAACCTGTTAAAATGTTAAATGCTCACATTCTCTAATATAAACTTTATAATATCATCTTATAATAAGTTGAATTTTGAAATTATCGATAAATTATTTACGATAATATTTATCAACTGATCGTGTAACGCGTGAATACATATACTAGTTAAATTTAATTACACTAGTGACTAGTCCCTACACTCTAATAATACTAACTCAATTGACAGTGTATCGAATCCAAACCCAAATTTAAAAGTATCGAAACAGAAATCTAATTCCGAAATCAAAAGGACTATAATTGTCATTCCTAAGATATAGTGACTCATCATAGCTTAATATCTATGCTAAGCCATGTTATATTGTTGTTGAAGTTGTATAGTGATAATGGTCATGCGATATGGTATCATGATAAGAAATTATGATATGGTATCATGATATGGAATCATGATATGATATAATAATATGGAATTATGAGATGAAATTGAAGTTTTGTTTGGGCATGCGATATGAAATTTTGATGTTGTATATTTTCTCATAAACATAAAAACTTCGCAAGTTGTAAAACTATTAAACTTGCCCCAATTGTTTATCCAATCTTACCAAATAAACAAAAATTTATAAAATTGCATAATATATTATTACATGGCTATTTGTTCTCCACTTAAGTAACTGTTTCATCAAACTTTAATTTAATTAAAAAATTGAACATAAGTTTTAGTGTACTGGTCTTTAATATTACTCAACAATCGGTTGGTGTGACTTAAATTGACTATATGTTGGTGAGAATAATAAATTTTATGTCGGTGAGAATAATAAATTTTAAAAAGTAATGATGTCATTATAAATTTTATTTACATATGAAATAAATAGTTAGTAGATAAATGTGGGGTTGTTTTAACAAAATATAAACTTGTGGATCAATTTTTGTATTAAAAATATCTCAAATCATGATATGGTATTCCCATATCATGGTTTTTGGAAAATATGGAATCACATCTCATGATATGGAATCATGAGATGGAATCAACATAAAATTGCATGTCCAAACGCTGATTCTATCTCACGATACCATATCGTGATATGGTATCGCATGGCCAAACAAAACTTATATGTGAGCAATGCCTTGGATTTTGTGAGTTGTGATTGAAATTTAAAAATGTGTAAATCATTACTCCCTCTGTCTCAATTTATGTGACCTACTTTCATTTTTAGTCAGTCCCAAAAAGAATGAAATATTTCTATATTAAGTAATAATTTAATTATAAAATATCTATTTTATCCTTAATGAAATGATTTACAGTCACACAAATTTCTTTCATTTATTTTGGACCACAAGTATTAAAAGTCTTCCTTTCTTTATTAAATTTCGTGTCCAGTCAAACTACCTCACATAAAATGGGACGGAGGGAGTATTTTTTATCATTTATTAAATTGAATTACATCGAAAACCGAACCATATTTTGTGAGTTGTGGATGTAAAAGACAAGAGAGGGTAAAGTAAACAACCCCTCACTTACACCAACAATAGGTTTGGTGAATTTCAATCTTTTTGATATAACCTTCAATAATTTCTATTTTCTTAGTCCAACCCCTCACTGAACATGGCAGGTCTAGTTGTGCTAGTTCCTTTTCCTTTAAATTTCTTCTTCTTTTTCCTTTCAACTTTAAATAATTTTAACATTTAACATATATTTTGCAACTTACTAATCCCTACAATTATATATACATACGTAATTTACTTTTAAATACTTCCAACAATCATTTATTATGTACTTGTATATATATATATATATATGACAAACTTTACATTTCTAATCTTCTAAGATTTTATATAATGGATGACAAATATATGACAAACTTTACATTTCTAATCTTCTAAAATTTTACTATAATGGATGACAAATATCCTCTAACATAATATATATGATTTAATTTATAATGGCAATATATATGTAAGATAGCTCAGGTTAGAGTAAGAAAGATCGGAGGTTGTTGGTATTATATTTTGAAGTACTTAATAATAATTTAAGATTGTAGATCTAGCTAACTAATAATTAATATATCACAAAATCTATTACTTTTTCCTTTATGAAAATTATTGGATCTGACAAGATAAATAAAAACACTTGAGATCATCTAAATATTTATTAATTTCGAGCAACTCTACAATATGCTAAGATCTATTTTGTTAGAAAATTTCTTTTAAAAAAAATGTTTATTTTCACGAGAAGGTTGTTTGTATAATTTGTATATAAAGGAAGCAAATTGAAGATGATAATTTAGCTTTTTCACACACACAAAACTTACTAATTTAATCTTAATGAAGGAGTATTATAAAGCAAGTTATATAAGCATGTTGTAACGCGATTCCTTTCGAGAATAAATTAATAATATACTATAATGTATAAAGTTGAAAGTTGATAGATACCTCATTATTAAGCCTAGAAGCCATGTTTTTGTTTCTTCTGGATCTGTTAAAAAGGAAAATAAACAAATATGTATTATATAATGGTGAAGGCTTAATATTTTACTAATTTTGGCAAGTTTTAGAGAAATAGAAGGAAAAGTTAAGGAGTATAGGAACCTGAAATAGGAAAGGTGACGAGCAGAGAAAGATTAGAAGATGGATGCACTGCATATATAGTGCATGGGGGGGAGGGGGGTATATCTTCATTTTTTATTCCACAACCCACCCTCTTAATGCATTTATTGCCATCAGAGAAGTAGGTCGAAGTTGTTGAAATATACTTCATTTTCAACCATTTAATTTACTTACCACTAGGGCTCTTCAAGGATAAAAACCCATTAAAATCAAACTACATACTAATATTTAGCTTTAATTAAAGTTCATGTTTATTTAATAGGAAGTGAATGGAAAAAAGAAAAAAAAGAGAGAAAATTCAGTTTAGAATGAAATCATTTTTATGCTTCAAGATTTCACGAACCTCTAATAACTAACGACACATGAAAAATTATAAAGAATAGAATAAAACGAGTTATATCAAAAGAAACTTTGTACGGAGCTTTTTCACTTTTAATAGCTTTATAGAAAAAAATTAAAAATAAATAGGATTTGCTTATTAACTTTAAATTAAATAATTACTTTTATATTTTATTTAAATTTTTAATGAAAAGAAAAAGAATAAAATTGATTAAAAATTCAATTGGTTACTGAGCTTTTTATCCCCTTAAATTTTTAAGTTAATTTTTTGAATTATTTTAGAAAATAATATATTTATTAACTACAATTAAGAAACTAATTAGGAGCTCTTTGAAAATGTAAAAAAAAGTGCAGCCAAAGGGAATTGAACCCATGCGCAGCATGTAGCAAAGGCCTCAGGTTAACGACGGAAATTGTAGCGACCCTTCTGAAATAATATAAGTCAATAACTCACGAGATTCTTATGCATATATCGTACTCACACTAGAACAAAAAATGACATAAAAAAAAATATTACCAACTTCCAAGTACCCAAACTAGGTGGTTCATGCTTCACACATTAATTCAAAATTAGTGGTAAATTTAATATATTACAAGACTTGGGCTTACACACCCCAAAAGAACAAAACATAGAGTCATACTTATATTACAACCCATGGTGACATGATCAAATTAGTCCTCAAAATTTCATGTAAATATACAACACATAGATCATGTACAAATTCCGGGTTTATACAAAATATAGATGCCTATATGCAAATGTGATCTTCCTTAATGCTCTCAAAATTTCCCTCTCCAATGGCCAGCTTCATGCATCCACTCGCTCATTCCCTACGATAGAAACAACTATCGCTAAGCATATAGCTTAGTGGTGTAAAACTATAGGTTCGGAGCCATCAAATTCACAAAACTACCCTTCTCAAGTCATGGGCAGCATAATCGAACATAATAAATAAATCAAGTAAACAATATATCAAAAGTATCAAGTTCGATATTTAGAGGTCCAATTGTCAAGAACGCTCATAGCACCATTTTCCAAGAGATTCAATAACAAGGCTCGCCCAATATGTACATCATGTCTTCACACCAAGCACAAACAAGTATCAAGAAGGGCCGACGCCCTATATCAAGAAGGGTCAAAGCCCAATAATCAAGAGAGATTTCTAATTCGTACTTAAAATGGACAACTTCCATACTTAAGACGAACTAAAAATCCAGAGTCAAGATGGCAAATGATCTGAATCAAGAGGCATGCCAATAGTGACAAAGTCACAGCCACAAGAAGGACAAGGTCCCAACAAGAGTGCCAGGTGATCAAACAATCCATACAAGTGGGCGAGTTACACAAACGTCTTTAACTTCTCAAAGGATACCAATACAACAATGCAAAGCGACAAGAGTAACCAAGGTACTAAGATCAAATTTCAAATATACTAGCAGTTAAAAGAGTGCAAATACAAGTTTATACACAAACCTCAGTGCTTTAGCAAAGAAACAGTCCAATACAACTTCAAGAGTTCAAACCGTAGATCACAACGTATCAAGGTCCTCAACTTGTTCACGCGTATATACAACCTTAAAAAATATAATTAAATAACTTCTTTAATTCCCAGCAGCTCAATAATATTAGTGTAAAACAAAATTATCATCACAAGTAAGCTTAGCCTGTACAAACACGACTATGCTCCCAAAATAGTGATTCTGGCCATCCTAGTACCTTATGTCGCAACTTAGATTTGAAAAGGAAAACGGAAAAACTAAACTTTATAATCTTCATGAAAGATGTAGCTACACCTCTTAAGGTTGCAAACAAACAAGAATCACCGTAAAATAATTTTTTTATAAAAAGATATATTCAAAACACTAACAGCTGTCCATACAGGATTTCAAATTTCAAAATCTGGACAGAATTTGTCATATGTTGTGTCCCATATTTCGATTCCATAACAGCTAAATCAGAGTTTTACATAAACATAAAAGTTGTAGGTCTACGAATTAGCTTTCCAAATCATATTTATTCACTATAAAACGGAGTTCTCGAGGATGAGATATGCATAAATTACCAAACACTACCCAGCTCATGAACAAATTTCGTCACTTACCAAAAAGAAGTGTGTGTCTCGAATTCCAGCCAAAAGAACCAAGTTTTCTCTTGTGATTTTGAAGAACAATCTATTTAGATATGCTTTTAAGGTTCTAAGGCTTGAGGAAAGAGAAAATACTAAAGGAGGGGTGAAAATATATAGTCAAACAAGTGATGTTTATCCCTTGGGCAGCTGTCCTTCAAAGGTGCTGCCCAAAAATTTGTGTGCTGCCCAAAATGCATACATATACACCTATATATATATATATATATATATATCCCTAATCTCCTTTTAAAGTTATACATAATTCTAATTAGAAAATTACCTAAACACCCCATCACAATCCCTTAAATTACGATCACAATTTATGTTAAGAAAGTTAGCAATTATCACAACACTTCAAGTTCCTAAAATGAGAGTAAAACATATTGTAGTAATTAAGCAATGGTAAATCGACATGCGACTCTTGGTTAATATTTAGGGGTGTTACAGAAATCACTAGGCTAAAAAAGTTTATTGTTTCAAGGATGTCCAAAACGTCTCATTTAAGCAGTTAAAGTATTATTTTACTTGTATATATGGTGTAATTTGTCGATGAAGGGTGTCAATTGGACACCCTCAACGTAGTGTAGCTACGCCCCTAATTATTATACATATAATATATATATATATATATATACGTTTTCATCAAATTTTATCTCACTACTACAAAAGTGAACTTTAGCGACAATTATTTTGTGGCAATAAGCTAATTGTCACTAATATATTTACGCAAGGAAAAATATCAACGGCTAATGTATAATAGTCAGCAATAAGTATATTTTTAGTTGCAATTACTAACAAAAGCCGCAAAAGAGTCTCTTTTTTTTCTAAAAATAAAAAATCCCACCTTTCTCTAAATTATTTCCCTCGACCTTTCTCTAAATTTTGAAGAAAAAAGGTTTCCTACGCTTTAAGGTAAACCTGAATAGCCAAAAAATCTCTCCTACACGCATAAGGAAAATAGTTGTACTAAAAAGATCTTCCACGCACATTAGGATTCCTCAACCTAATTCATCAGATTAGCACGTCCATCAGCCTATATTTCTCTCACAACAGTGACAACCATCAATATATTTTTTTTCATAGCAGCGACGTCCGTCAACAACGAACTTTAGAGAAGTTTTCAGGTATGTAGATCGCTCCTCTCCACTCCTTTGTTTCTATTATGTTCAATTTTCTTTGTTGCTCTGAAGATCTTCATTGAGAATTCAACCGTGCAATTTGTTTTCTACCATGTTCATTAATCGATATTTAGTCATTAATTGGGAAGAAAACATAAAATACACCTGACAAAGTAATCAGTTTTTAGGCATTAGTAGGGATTTAAAGTGATTTATGATTCGTAAAAGTATATTTTTCTGTGTTTGTGATCTCTTGTTGTTGCTGTTTTGATTGAAATTGATCGAATCGATTCCTCTGTTAATATACATTAAGGCATATGAATGTTATGTTAAAGCGAGTGGTTGTTTATATATTATGGAGCGTGACTCTTGATATATTAAGGTGCATGATTGTTAATAAATTAAGGTGTGTGGCTATTAATAAATCAATTTGTTTTACTATATCTCTTTATGTTAATGATACATTGTAGTGTTGAAGCCAATGTTTATATTTCTTGATCTGTTGCATCTTTCGTTTATCCGTTAATGTTTTCTTCAAACTCTTTCAACAATAAACACGTTATAACTACAGGTTCTTGCTAACAATGTTCACTAGAATTTGGTCAATGTTTGTTATTTAAAATCTCATAGAGGATCTGGTTGTATGGTAATCCTACATCATAGATTAAACATATACTATACACACAAACTAGTGAGAAACGATTAGAACAGAAAATATTAGAACAACAAAAACTTATCTCAAAATTTCAAAACTGTATAGATGTATGTGTGTTCTGATTCAACAACAACAAAATTCTCTTACCCAAAAACTTATCAACAATCAGCTGGTTAGTACAAAAGGAAAAGGACAACCATAGTTCCTTAAAAGAAAAAGGGAAAAAAATAATCAAAGAACATATCTCATGTATCCTATCTATTTTCCTTCTCGCTGAAATCCAAAAAATTCCTCTTGAACTCCTAACAATTTGAAGAGTTTCAAGTCATTGAATAAATTCTGCAACTTATCAAATAGTAATATCCTATTCCTAGAAGTCTTCCATCCAGTTTTCCCTTGCACGGAACTTCTACCAAATTCCCCAATTCCATTAGAAATCCAAGACGCCTAAGTCATCCAAGCAGAAGTTGAACTCCTCCTGCCGGCTTGATCTCAGAAAATCAAAATTGTAATCAATCTTGATAGGTTCTTACTGCTCCATTTGCTGCAAACCTTCCAACGTATTGTCATCTGCATTGTCCAACTGATATGATGGATTTGACAACTGATCATCTGCATTTTCCAACTGGTATAATGGATTTGAGAACTGATCATTGTCATAGGTAGTATTCTGCAATTGATACGAAGGATCATAGGCATACGACTCTTGTTTAGGATGAAAGAGTCAACATCTTGACTTGGAACCGAGGCATCTAGTGGCGTCGAATCTATAATTTCTGATGGCTCATTTACATCAAACCACTACAAGAAATCTGCCTTATTGTGGCGGTAGAAGTCGCCACAAAAACTCCAAATGTTGCCACTAAAAGTTTATTGTGGCGACTTACTCTCCGTTGGTAGTAATTCCGTAACTAAAAGTTATTTGGGGCGACAAAAGGATGTCGCCACAAAAAACACTCATCTGTGGCGACATAATCCGTCACAATTTGTTAACAAATATGCCACAAAAATAAAATCGCAACACGACTATTTGTCAAGTCGCCACTAAAAACAAGCCCTTTAGTGGCGACATTGTTGCCACAAAAACATATAAACTTTCTGTGGCAACCTTTGTCGCTACTAAACATTAATATCAGTAACGACTCCTACCGTTGCAAAAAACGATTAACTATTAGTATCACCTTTCATCTCGCTGCTACACACTATTAATTAGCAGCGACTTTTTCCGCCACAAAATCAACTAATTATCAGTGGCAACTTTTATGTCAATGCAAAAAGTGATTTTTAGTAGTATCTAAAAATCACCACTAAAATTACTATAGCATTTGTGGCAACATTCATCTCATCACTGAAGAACAATATTTAATGTTTTGAATTAAATTCTCTAAAATCAATACATATATATAGCTATTAAAAACATCTATTTGTATTTCACAAAATTAATACAAAAGGCATTTTCGAGTTAAATATTACAAATACTCCCAGTACTAGAAATTCAACTATACATTATAATATATATATATATATATATATATATATACGCTAGTAGTTCAGTTATCGTTGTATCCATATACATATGGCCAAAAAGCAAAAACTTCCATTGCACGCCTTAAAACTACTTCTTGATCGTGCCCCATTGTTTAAGAACCTTGTCCCTGAAATTAGAAAAACACACAATCACTTTCTAATTCCCACAGTCAAATGCTAATAATAACAAGAGTAACATAAGACTTTAAAATCAACACCATCATAGTTTCAATACTTTATTTTTTTGTGTATGAAAATATATAATAAGATACTGGCAGTTGTTGTCATTCGAAAATCCACACCAAAAATTTTAATTGCAACACAACAAGCAAATCCTCTATTTAAATCAACAATCAAAACTATACATGATATGGACATTAAAATATCTAACACAGTAAGAGAATCTCATTTGTTCTCTTAAGTGCTACATCCATCACAAATCAAATTTCTAATTCTAGTGATGACTGAGAGATCCAGTAATAATAGTGTTATATTATAATAGTGACAGAAATCCAGTTACATTAGTTCATATTGTGTTAAAAAAGAGTAAACACATAGAAGGAAAAAAGAATATGTCAAGAGGCTAAATTGATTCCAAGTTAGTCACTTAAGTAACAAGACACAATCTTTTCTAATATTAATAGCAGAGGCAGAACAAGAAACATTTACTCACATTACAAGACAACTTATTAAAAGCTTCATAATACTTTTTCATTCATACACGAGAGAGACTAGAAGACATAATACTTTTTCACAATTAAACAAATATTTATCTCAGACTTAATCTTTAAAAAGAAAAACCAATCCACCCACAACTAAAATCCCTTGATAACTAAGGCATTTCACGCTAAAAACAAAGAACCTACATATAAGGGAAGTCAATAAACAGAGCTAACAACTTCCTAATATCAAAATCTTGAAAAAACAAACAAATGCCACATACTCTTTCTTGATATGTGGTAGAAAACGCCTTCACTGAGAGGCAATTAAGATCTTTAAATAACATTTAAAATTTTACGGCAAGAAGAATAGACAATGAAAGGAGAAGAATTATTCAGGAGCAAGAGAAAGGACCTGTTGCATTCTAGTCATGATAGCGGCCATTTGTTCTTGAAACATCTTGTCCACTTCGCCTTTCATGTGTTCACGCTCCTCTTCCAATTTTTTTTGCAAATCTTCTTCCATATTTCATTTTAAATCAGCAGTCATTTGCTCTCGTTCTTCTTGTAACTTTCGATCCATATCAGCTTGCATCTCTTGACGCATACTTTCCATAGTTGAAGACACACTAGCCTCTATGTCTGCCTGCTGTATTTGAGTCTTTTTAGGAGGTTTCTTTCCGTATCCTTTCCCCCGAACATAGCCTGATCTCTCACCAAGAACTGAAGATAAGATATCATCCCTAGTCATGCGATGCTCGATCTCTTCAGATTGTTGTTCAACAACAAGTTATTGGAGTTGACCCTACAATAATACGCAACCATTTACACAAAAAACATAACTTACATATTGGAAGTAACTTGTAGTAGGTCAAAAAGATAAAAAGGCAATTATTTTAGGAAATTACATGAATCTGTTGTGATTGTGGATCCAACCATTCACGTTCTCCATTAGTATTTTTACGTGTGTGTTGAATCTCCCAAACTTTATCTGGTGTGTCTTTTTCTCCCGATTCAGGATTTCTCTATAATATAGTTCAATAAGAAAAAAAAAAATATGAGCAGATGTATATAGGTAGCAAAGAAGTATATGAAATAATTGAGGAACAAATATATTTTCACCGTAGATTCCTCTACTTCTGCAAATGATCTTGTACCACAAGAATGCTTAGTTATTTGTTTTTCTCTATTTTTTCTGTTTCTCTCACTGACAACCTGCACCAAGTCAGGTGATCAGAAAATAGTTATCCTAATGTGCTACTAAAAGAGTATAGTCTGTTCATGTAAGCATAAGTAAGTTACCTTGAATTTTTCACTGCCAAAATACTTAACTAGGTATTTCCAATCCTCCAACTCAACATCCTCAGGACGATGTGACAATCTGTCTTCATCGGTACTATAGGCAGAGTAACAGTTATGCAATCGAGCTTTCCAAGCTCTAAAGAGTCTTTGGATAGTGCTTATCACAAAGCCTTGTAACTTATGCTCTCTCAGTCCATCGCAAACTTCAAATTTGTCCTAAACACATTGTAATATTAAATTTGATAAATCAGGTAACTAAAGGCAATACAAAATTAAAAGTGATTTATTACCTTGACCTTATACCACATTGCTTCTCCATGTTTTAAAATAATCTTTTGCCAATTTCCATCTCGGAACGAGATACTACTCCTCATGATCAAGCCAGAGTAATTAACAATATCTCTAGCCCCAGAACCCACAGCTCTATCAATGTCATATGGAATAATTACTTTGATTTTTTCTCCATACTTGGTTTTAATATCAACAATTTTAGATTTATATTTTCCTCTTCCTCTCTTTCTATTGACGCGAGAACCTGCAAAGCAAATAAAAGCTCAAAGAACATTATATCAAATAGTTCTTGTATAATACTATTAATGCAAAACCAAAATATACTAGTATTCTGCCACTTAACCAACATACTTTCTTGTATAAAAAAATAATAGTTGAACAGCAACAAACTAAAACCCCAACAGGTATCCTCTAACAACAATCGGGTAGAACACTAGTGAGTCGTTTCCTATTAAGAAGGGAGGTGAACTAACCTGTTCCAGTTTCAACCTCTGGAGAGGGGAGTGTGCTTTCTTCAAGATTTCTAGATGATTGTGTCTCTAGAGATGTTCTTGGGAGAGGGTGACTTGATATTTGGCCTATCTGTAGAGATCCTTGATTTGGGTTAGATGATTGTTCTACTTCTAATGATATTTCGGTAACTCTTATTGGTTGTAGTTGTGGCTGAGACGTAGTTCCAAAACTTTCACGTCCTCGAGAACTGCCACGTCCACTTTTTACATCGCCTCTTCCAATTTTACCTCGTCCAGTTCCTTTCATTTCCTGCAACATCAAATAAAAATCACAAGTATCAAAATAAGAAATTAAAGATGATTAAGAATATGTCTACAAGCCAAATAAAATATCAATTCGTAAAATAAAGTAATTCACTGACAGCCAAATAAAATATCAATCCATAAATTTAAGAAAATGTGGGACATTTTGCTGACAACTGCTGCTTAATTGGTGAAAATGTAACTCACTGATTCTACTAAAACCAAATATCAATTTATAAAGCTAAAGCCACAAGCGTTATGAATTAATTTCATCTTAGTCTCAAAACAACTAAATACAAATAACTTCCAAAAAACATGTAGACATCTATATGAACCGTCTTTGTTTCTCAATCTTCAGAAGGATGTATCACTGTCCTCTCCATCATTATCAACAAGTGACTCTTCTTCACTTTCTTCATCCTCGGATACATCTGTATGATAGTCATTAATAAAATCATCTTCCTCATTTTCTTGATCATTAGTACGCAAAACAGTTTTTGGTTCAATATCATCTCTATGTAAAGACACCTCAATATTAGTTTCATGATCATTGGTATTCAAAATATTACATTCGACTTCCTCTTGTTGATAAACTTCGTCATTTATTAATTCTTCTTCTTCAACATCAGGCATATTAAAAAGGTCCCGAGGATTTGTCTTTACAACAACAAGCCAATCTTTATCAATCATGTCATTCAAGTAGAAGACTTGTTCAGACTGAGATGCCAACACAAATGGCTCATTTGTATTCAAAGCACAATGAGTATTTACACTTGTAAAACCATAGTGGTCAATCTTATATCCTCTTCCTAGGCGAGCCACATCCCACCAATGACATTTGAATAGATAAACTTTTCGATTTCCCACATAACGCAACTCATAAATGTCCTCCAATACACCATAATACTCCTTATTAGAGTCTGCATCATCTGCTCTCACAAGAACTCCACTGTTCTGCGTTTTTCTCACAAGCTCTTTTGTTTGAAACCTAAATCCATTGACCATAAATATCGAATATCGATGCACCAATGGTTCAGGACCGACAACTAAGCTTATGAGCTCATCAGTTGCACGTCCTTGTGCAGCTAGTACAAATATCTACAAAAATCAATAAGACTTGTTTATAATGAAATGTCAACACTAATAGTAAAGCGTTGTTGAAGTAAACACTTACACGTGCACGAAACCACTCAATACATTTGTTATTATGTATCCCTTGAGGTCTCGTTGCACCTTGAATTTCCATTTCTCTCATGTATTCCCTGCGTTTTGTGTTAGTAAAGATTAATTAAACTATCTCAATATGAAATTATATTTGAATTAAAAAAAGACTTGCTCCATGAATGGTGAAACCTCTTCACAATTTTGAAGAACATACATACATGCTTGGTTGAACTCATCATGAGGTAGTCTGATTCCATCTGAAGCCCCTTTTGTTTGCCCACTTTTTTTAAAGATAGACATCTCACCATTTGATTCAAATCCATCATCATTTCTTGTTGGTTTATTGAACTTGGTTGAGATATTTTTTAAATATATTGAGCCAAACGTAAGGTTTTCCCTTGCCATATGACCTTGAACAATTGAGCCTTCTGGACAACGTGGGTTGCGAAATCTGACTTAAGTATTCGCAAATACCTATATATAGATTTCTTATTAATATAATTATAGAATATTACATTTTAAATACATTGGCATTCAAATTATAAATTATATGTTACCTCTCAATAGGGTACATATCTCGATATTGAACTGGTCCACCAAGTTTTGCCTCACTTGCCAAGTGTATTGGCAAATGAATCATGACATCAAAAAATGCCGGGGGGAAAACCATTTGAAGTTTGCACAATATGATAGGAATTTCAGCCTCTAGGATATCAAGATCTTCAATGGTCAGACACTTAGAGCATAAATTCTTGAAAAATTTGGCTAAGGCTATAATTGGTTCACACACTTCCTTAGGCAACAAACCACGTATAGCTATTGGTAAAATGTCTCGCAATAATACATGATGATCATGACACTTCAATCCATGTATCTTTTTCTCAAGTACGTTCACACACCTTGAAATATTTGACGAAAAGGCATCTGGAACCTTTAAATTAGCCAAGAATTCACATAACTTCAACTTCTCTTGAGAAGACAATGCATAGCAAGCAGTTGGCAATAAAATAGTATCCCCATCCTCAATTGGATGCAATCCTTGCCTAATTCCAAGGTCCACCAAATCATATCGACTTTTCAATGTGTCCTTTGTCTTTCCAACTATACTCATCATGGTCGATAAAATATTGTCGGAGACATTTCTTTCTATGTGCATCACATCAAGGTTATGTCTTAACTTAAGACTCTTCCAATAAGGCAATTGAAAAAAGATACTTTTCTTCCTCCAATTATAAGCATTGTTAGAAACATTATGCTTTCGCTTTTTCCCTTTACCAAAACTCAGATTGCCTAACTCTTGTATCTGCATAAGTGCTTCATCACCTGTTAAAGGGCTAGGTGCAACCCCCATTTCAACTTTCCCATCAAATAACACCCTATTTTTACGCCATGGATGGTTCATAGGAAGGAAGCGACGATGACCCATATAGCACAACTTATTGCGCAAGGAAATCGATTGTGTGTCTTTATAGCAACAAGGGCATGCAAGCTTGCCTTTGGTTGACCATCCTGAAAGGTTTCCATACGCGGGAAAGTCATTAATCGTCCACATGAGAGCCACGCGCATAAGAAAATTAGATTTTGTGTGTGCATCATAAGTCTCCACCCCATCCCATAATTCTTTCAACTCTTCAATCATGGGTTGTAAGTATACATCAATATCATTGCCTGGAGATTTAGGACCTGGAATAAGAAGTGGCATCATGAAATATTTCATGCAATCCCATGGTGGCAAATTATATGTAACTAAAACGACAGGCCAAAAACTATGATTTGAACTCATATTTCCAAAAGGTTGGAACCCATCACTTGCTAAACCTAATCGAACATTTCTTAACTCAGATGAAAAAGAAGGATAACGCTCATCAAATGATTTCCATTCTATTGAGTCAGATGGATGACGCAAGACACCGTCATCAATATTTTCCTCCTTATGCCACCTCATCTTCTTTGATGTCTCTTTTGCCATGTATAATCTTTGAAGCCTTGGTTTGATTGGAAAATAGCGCAATACTTTATGAGCTACTTTCTTGCCTTTGTTTTCTAGTGATTTCCATCTAGACATTCCACACTTTGGACATGATTGGGCATTGACGTAATCACGCCAATATAAAATACAATCATTCTGACATGCATCTATTTTTGTATACCCCAAGCCTAGGTCACAAAGAATTTTCTTAGCTTCATAAAAAGAACTAGGTAATAATGACCCCTCGAGAAGAACTTCTTTAAAGAAGCTTAATAACTCATCCATCGATTTGTTGCTCCAATGGTTGAGGCACTTCAAGTGAAGTAATTTAATAACAAAAGATAACTTTGAGACTTTTGTGCAACCAGGATAAAGTTCTATCTGAGCGTCTTCCAACAATTTGTAGAACTTTGCTGCATGCATATTTGGTTCTTCATTTTCCTCAGACGAATTAATATTACTCCCCATATATCCACAAGCGTCATGAATCATTTCAATAATGTCATCCTCTTCAATGTCATCAGCTTCTACTTTAGCACTACATGCGGCATTAGAGTTTTCAACTCTAACTAATACTTCTCCATGCAAGTCCCACACTTTATAAGAATCCCAGAAGCCCTTTTTCAATAAGTCACCTCTTACATCAATTCTTAGCTTGAACACGGTGTTCATACATCCTCTACAAGGACAGCGAATCATGGTATTCACTCCAGTTTGACTGAATGCCCAATTAAGAAAACCTTCAACTCCATCTCTATATCTTTGGTCAACTCTATTCCTAATATTTAACCAACTTTTATCCATTCCTATTCTCAACAGAAAACAATTCATTAATTTAATTTTTTTACAATGATAAACAATGGAGAGAGAAGCCCAGATAAATAGAATTAAACAAAGAGAAGTGAGGATCAGCTAACTAGAAAGAAACACACAAAGTGTAGTAAATAAATCACTGAATAAAAAAATGTAAGTACTCCATTCTCCAACAAAGGTGTCAATTCTTTAACAAGTCAAACAAACGATTTTTGTATAATTAGAGTAAGTATTTTGCGGTAAATTAAAACAAAATGTAATGTTTATTTTACAGATTTTACATTATAGATTTGGACTGCCAATAATCTACTTCTATCATATAATTTCAATCCATTCTAGGAGCAGATTTTAGGCCAATAAACTTTTTTTTTGGTAAAAGGAGATGGTTTTATATATATATATATATATATAATGAATCAATACAATCAGGTGGCTACAGATCTACTAATACTAGGATTAATAGTACTAGTACTAGATATAATGTTGCCAGAAGCTTTAACGTTACAAGGGTTCTTAGCACTATTAGCAAAACTACTAATTCTCTTGTCCAACAAACTACCAAATGGTCACCACACCATAATTGTTAGAATCTCCAAGCTCAATGGAACTATAACAGAAAACACATACATAAATCACCAATAGAAATGAGATATTTACATGTACACAAATCGCAGCTAAATGAGACACTACTTTTACTTTGAATCATGTTCATACTATTTAAAACATAATTCACAATTCATAGCAAATAGAATCTGAAATAAAGTTTAGAGGAGTCATTAAACATCGTGTAACGAATCAGAGTACATACAAAGAAATAGGTTTCAAAATGTCTCAAGTAAAATGAGTTGTTTCCCAGATGACAACTACTATTGAATCACTAACAGATTCATTTTTTCTTCATAAAAATGGAGTGTAAGAAAGTGTGTAATTTAGAAACCAATTATGGCAAATAACATTAACTTTAAGCAGCTTCTTTAGAAGATTATTTGACATTACAAAATGAAAGAATTCCAATGAAGTGCTTGGAATAATAGCTTTCTTGGAAGTCAACAAATTAAAAGGCAAAATGGAAAAGGAATTTCTTGTTCTCTAACTTCACATGTTATCCCCTCAATGTTTTACATCACACTTTTCAAGCATTAACCGCAATTATATTTTCTATCATAAATGGCTACAACCATACACAACAGTAGCAGTCACATTAGCATTACATGTTCGTTCTTTTGAAAGTCTGTTTCCATAAACCTGCCTTTTGAGAGGCATTTACATTCTTACCGTACCTATATAGGAAGAAAGGCTTTTACCATCTCAAAGTTTGACTGTACCATGTTTTAAATTTCCAACAAACACACAAGACTTTATGCTTTCAGTGACTATGGTTGATTTGGATAGAAGAAATTTACTTAACTTTCACAGTAGAAACCCAATAGAATACTGAAACTGAATCATTAAATCACTTATTTTAACCTGAGGTAATTTTAACTGAAAAGAAACTCTTTTCCCTGAACTTAAGGTATCCAATCTATTTTAAACAGACAATCACAATAACAATATCAAAAATAAACTTCCAGCTTACCCAAAGAAAGAGATTACTCAGACATGACTTTCAAGATCGAGAAAACAAAATAAAAAATATTAAAATATGGATAGACATGAATCGTACCTTCAAAACTTCAAACAAAGAACAAGTTCAATTGAACGAGACACTCTCATACTGATTTTCAAGTTAGGAGATTTTTCCCTTCCTCCTTCGAGTTTAGAGAACTCTCTTCCTACATAATTTCAACTGGGTTAAAGAAATTATATGTGAAATCAAAAATACAAATACCAAGAAAGGGATTTGAGCACATACCTGATGTAATATATACTTTAGAGAACCCTATTAGTGAAAAATTGAAGAATATTCAGCAAAAAAACCCTATTCCAATAGATTTGAGGAAATATTAAACCAACAGACACTACTTCTTCCTCCCTTTTCACAGATTTGAGCAAAAAGGAAAGATCTTTTTCTTCCTCCTTTTCCCAGATTTGAGCAAAGAGGAACGAGTTTTTCTTCTTTCCTTTTCCAAGATTTGAGCAGAGATATGTTTTTCTTCTTCCCTTTTGCTATAGAAAACCCATTTGAGCTAAGAGGAACATTTGCTTATTTTAGCTTTGAGCAAAGAGGAACAAATGACCCTTTAGTTTTATTTTCACTAGAGCCTTCATTTTATTTTTTTATTCTTTTTATTTTAAATTAATATTAGAGGCGACCTGATCGCTACAAAATTATATTTAGAGGCGACGTTTAATAAGATGCTACTAAATATTTGGAGCGAAAATTTTCATTTCAGCGGGAGTATAATTTTAGATTTAGTGACAATTATTAGTGGCGACACAAAATAAGTCGCCTCTAAAGATAAATGTTCAGGAGCGACAACAATTGTTGCCACTGAATATGTAGCTTATGTAGCAAAAAGAAGAGTCGCCACTAAATATCGTCACAATAAGTGTTGTTTCTTGTAGTGAACATCTCATCATCCAAACACAAGTTGCCTAAGTCCTCTAGTCCAATGTCCCACGTCTCATAACTACAAGCCACATGCTCTTCTTTAATTTTAAAGGTCTCACTTTTATCGAACACCTCCTAACATTGTCTCTACCTCTCATCATGTCATCAGCACACCTCAGAGAAACTTGTTGTTGTATTCGAGTTCGAATGAGATACAGTAGGCAACCTCGCCTAGTCACGTCTTTGGCTTTGACGATTTAATTTTTTTATGAATCTCCCTTTAAGCACTCAATCTTGGCCAGTCACATCTTTGGCTTCCTACTCTATTTGAAAAAGAAGGTACAATACGAAATAGACGTATATAATTCTCACGAGTAGAGGTAGTAGCAAGAAGAGTGACACTAGGGTAAACAAATAGAGCAAATATAGGACTGGTATGCGCCTTAAATTGTGAAATAACTGCTCAAGAAACAAAATCCTTAATAGTAACCTGCAGTAGAAAAGATGGAAAGAATATTCAGATCTCATCACCACCATACTGTAAACAAAGCTGATGCAATCATCAATTTATGAGGTAAAGAAGAGAGAAAAATAGGAGGGCATTTGAAGTGGTTAAACAAGATTTAGTAAAATCACAAAGTAGTCTTTTTTTTCTAGTTCCTTTTTGGAGTGCCTATGAGGTCACCCGTCCCCATTTATACAGAAGATTGGGTTCCTTTTCTAGAGACATACTTAGTTGTAGGTTCTCTCTTTTTGCACATGAGTTGTATAGGTTTTACTCCAACTGTTAATAATATTCACCTTAGCAAAAAACAATTTAGTAGCTAAAACAATTTTCTAGAGCTTAGTATGTAACATATAGAGAACAAACTACTCTCGTTTAGAGAGAGCTATAGAGAATTTTCTTGCTCATATGATGACAGGTAGTATATGCTTCATAGGATTATAGAGCTTAATTTGAATAGTCCAAAATCAAGCAGGTAGTATATGCTTCTCTTTAGTATCTTGAGTTTCTAGCTTGTCCTATCTATAGTTTCCTAAGTTGTTCAAGAGGCCTTATCCTTAGAAGTCATGAGCTACTCCGCTCGTTTTATCCTTAATTTTCTGGGCTACTCAACTACCTAAATAGTAGTTAGTATCTCCTACCCCGAAACCCAACATTTGCACTCTATCTTTAATAAGTAATATACCCCACACAACAAGCTAGTTCATGAATATAAGTTTAGGAACTTTGATTTAAGTTTCATAGTAGATTAGCAAATACCAATTTGGATACACTACATTAGACTTTTATATCCCAAAGAGATTTAGTACACTCGATTATTAAGAATGAGTTTTTTACAATTTTAAAAATGAACATATAACATGTTGATATCTATTAATTCAAATTTAATCTACATTTCAACTAATAAAATGATATCTTTGAGAAAAGAAATTACATACTACTAGAATGGATGTGTTTGTCTGAAATACATTTTTGATTAATTTCTTCTCTTTTTTGCTAAGTATTTTCAGCTCCAACAGTAATTACAAAAAATAAAACAATTTCTTGAACATCATGAGCAATTCTACTGGTATTATGCCATCATATAATAATTAGTTTTGTCATGGAGAGTCTCTAAAGGATCAAACATTAATATTGAAGCAAATCAGAGGTAGGCAACTATAGGAGGCGATGATATGAGAGGAATTATACATGATGGTTTTGGAGGCTTTACATCGTTTCATAGATAGTGAAATTAATAACAGAAGTGAGATGGAGCCAAACCTACAAGAAAATGCTGACCATCCATCTTGAATGCAACCTCATCTAGATACGGATAAGTTTGAACGACTCATGAATAAGGTAAATGAAGAATTATATCCTGGATACAAGAAGTTTAGAAAATTATCCTTTTTATTGCATATCTATCGTAAAAAATGTATGTTCAAATGGTCAAATAAATCCTTTAATTCATTGCTTGGGCTACTGAAGGATGCAATGGGGTAGCAGATCGCCTATAAGAAGTAATATTGAAGAGGATTCATCTAATGAGGTTGTACAAAGGTTAGAACAGGAGATAACTGAGTTTAAGGAAAAAACAAAATGAAGAAATAGATCTGATGAAACAAAATTACGATAAGCTACAATCAGAATTCCTCCAAATGAGACAATTCATGCAAAAGTATGCTCCTAATGAATCTCTTCTTCCAGATATCAAGGGCACCTCAAATGAGCAGGTAACTAAATTTTACAAGTCTGAGACATTTTTAATGAAATTTTAATCCTATAAGGGGTCGTTTGGTGTGAGGGATAATACCAAATAGTCCCGGGATTAAATTATAGTACCGCTTATTTTGTTGTTTGGTTGGCAAGTTCGGGATAACTTATCCCGGGATTAATAATTAATACCGGGATAAGTTATCCCTCTCTTGGGGTGGTATAGTAATCCCGGGATAATTTATCCCGGGATAAAATAGGTAAATGACAAAAATGTCTCTTTCAACCCTTTTGTTATAT